TAGAGGTCCTCTGCGAAAGAGAGTTGGTTGGATGAGACGTATTTGATGGATTGATATATTAGAGTGGCAGCAATCATGGATTGAAGGATAATAATGAATATTTTTCGGAATTTGACGTTGATAATTATGATTGAAGAGATGATATTGAAAGGATGGATATCTCCATTCACAACAAAGTAATCACAAATACAGAAATACTAGGACTTATTGTCTAACCAGACATTTGTTTGAAGCACGAATATGCGTTGCCAATAGCTAAAACGTTGAAGTTATTAATTTCTTATCGTTTGGTAAGTGTAAGGGGCCGAGGTATGGAATCCTTTATATCCTTTGGATGATTTGTAGATGAGAAGAAGATAGAAAAGAGAAAGGTGTCCAAATATAATAAGCCTAGATTATTAATGTGAATTACCTGAATTAATAAACTCCCAACTCAGCAAACAGTAAATACAGAACTAGAGACTTGAGAACTAATATATACAAGTATTCACCTGGAGTACCAATTTTCTTCTCAAACAAATGCATGATTCTGCGATAGAGCTATTCACAGGCTGAATGGACCGAAAGGAACAGGCCTTCAATAAGTGTCTTGATGTCTATGTACTTATATTAGGAGTATGTAAGCTGGAGTATATAGATGTGCGTATAGGGCGAGAACAGGAGTTGACGAGTTTAACAAGCGACAATAACAATATAGAAAAATCATCTCTGATAAAACGCAACGACAGCAGAAAGAGATCTTCTTCTATGAAAATGGATAATAATGATAACAATAACCACGCATCCCAACTAGTAACCCCAATATCAAAGACCCTACCCAGCACCTGATAATCTTGCGTCTCGTCACAACACGAGAGATCCAAACTCGCTCACCCATATATCCTTCAGCACAACGCCAAATATTACATCGTCACTTATTCTTCACTCAATACTTATCCTTTTATAATCTCCCGAGGAAATTTTGAATTATACTCTTCACTCCTTCACCAACTCACTCTCCCGTCCAAATATTTGATATTTATTTAACCAACTAACTCAATCCACACTGCACATCATTCTCTTTGGCCTCAACCTCTAAATGCACGCATTTGTCTATACATTTGTTTATCCATCCATTATAATAAAATAAAACTCCAAGTGTCTTTTTCCCAGTCTCAGAGTGTCCCCATTCTTCCTATCTTTCAAAGTATCAAAGGAAGTCCAATCAATCTTCCACTAACTTCATCATTTCACATATCCTTCCCCCTTCCCCCTTCCCCCTTCCTAAAGCAAGATTTGATAAAATTTTCCACTCACAAATTAACATAATATCCAAAGCAACCACATCTACGGAAATAAAAAAAACCAAACTTATAACTTATAGCTTGTAATTAACTCTAGGGTGATAATTACTAGGTAGTATAAAATTATATATATAATAAGTTGTTAAGCTATGAATTGTAAGATTACATATACATAAAATTACCTAAATTTCTCATATATACAATCTATCACAATATATTGCAACCTATCCATTCCGAGCTAATCCCGTTACGCCTTACCAAATACCCATCCACTCACCCACCATCCATACACCCATCCTTCCATTCTCCACCCTCGCCTGTCCCTCTCCCCCTGACTTCATCAACTAATTCCTCCCCTTTCCACCCTTCCCTTTTCCACCCACCAATTTCACCCTCCAACTTCACCCCCCAACTTCACCCTCACCCTCCCAATTTCACCCCCAACCCATACCCTTTCCCCAACCCTTCACCAAACCCTTCCCCTACCACTCCAAATCCAAAACCCCCAACCAACTCTCCCCCACAACCCTATAAATCCTCACCTCACCCCCCACCAATTCCCCCACATTATACTCACCCCTCACCACCTTCTTCACACCTCCGACATTTTGTTCCACCACTTCTAGGATACCGGTTTGTGTGACTGTTGTTTGTTATTTATTAGCCATTTGTCCATAGCGCATGTTTTCAGTATCAATTTTGACCACTCAAAAAAAAAAAAAAAAAAGTAAAAATAAAACAAACTCACCCCCAACAATAATAGCCGTATGATCCGGCATTCCCGCCCACTTCTGGCCACCCATCAAATCCCTAAAATGCGCCTTTAAAAACTGCACCACATCACCCCTCCTAACCCCCGCCTCCTTAACATTCTTTCCCAGCCCACCTACCCCAGCCCCGCCACCACCCACCAGCACCTCCCCATCTCTAACCTCAAAGATTTTAAACCCATGCACCACCCCCAGACACCTCATACACTCTTCTCTCCCCCCTTCCCTCTCCCCCTCCGCAATAACCCCCAACCCCTCATTAACCAGCGTCCAACACTCACCATCCCCCACCTTTTCCCCCATTTTCGCCTCTCCCCACCGCGCCACCATCTCCGCATACCTTTCTCCAAAAATTTCCAACTCCGCTCTACTCAAATCCCTCAGAGGCAGAAAATGTTTCTGTTCAGCTCGAACACTGTGTGCGGGATTCGCCGCATCCCAGGTGATTTTGATTTTGGTGGTGGAGAGGGTTTCGTGGTGACGGATACAAGCGAGGAATGTGTGGGTTTTGCGGGGGCCGATGGAGGTCCAGGAGGTGGAGGTAATGTGAGAGCGGGTGCCGGGGAGGGAGGCGATGGAGGGGGGTGGGAAGGAAGGGGGGGTGTGGGTGAACCAGAGGGTTTGGAGGGAGAGGGGGAGGTCGGTTGGGGTGTATGGTGGGGCTGAGGGGGGTGGGAGAGCGGCTGCTTGAGAGGTCTGGAGGGGTTAGCTTTAATTGGGGATATGGAGGATGATAATGGAAGGTTTAAGGAAGGTTTGAGGGAAATAAATTGCATAGTAAGATTATTTCCATAGAAAATGTGTACATCACGGCTTAAAAGAGACTACATGAAGAACATATACAACATCATGCTTTTAAAAATGAAATGATCACTCAAACACCCCGGATTTCTACATGAATATATCCAATAACAACAAAGAGAAGCTCAGCGTCCAGGGAAAAAAACATCAACAAATTCCATCATTCAAAAATATAGGGTAAAAGTATTGATTATATAACTATGAATATTGACCACTCACCATAGGCTTAGGTTTAGTCGCCTTAGGTATAGGAGGCGGTGTTGCATTTCCAGGAGTACCCAAATCCGACTTCTTCTTAGGAGGAGGTGGAGGAGCTGGTTTCTTTTTTCCCAAAACCGATTGTACATTTAATCCATTTCCAATCGGACTAGATGAATTTTCCACCGTTCCATCATTTCTACCAGGTGAAGCATCTCTTCCTTGCGCAAGCGCTCCATACGATCCAACTTTATCCGCAATTCCATATTTTGTATTTAATTTATTCGCAGATGCCCAACCGGATTTTACTTGTTCTCCATGTCTTTCTCTAAAATTATTTGCGGTGCTTGCGGCGCTTCGAGCATCGGACAAGGAGATGGATGATGGATCTTTGTGGAATGCCGATGCTGTTTTTAGAGCGGCTTGTTTTTGTGCAAAGGTTGTTCCTTCGGTTGGAAGTGAGGGTTTAGGAGATGAAGAGGTTAATGATGATGAGGATGTAAGTCGAGAAAATCGAGATTGAAGTTCGTTTAATTGTGGTGATGAAGTTCTTGCGGGTATTTGTGGTGAAGAGGTTCTAGCAGGTAATTGCGGTGAAGATGTTCTTGCAGGAGGAGGTGGAGGTGATGAATTTGTTGAAGTTCGTGTTGGAGGAGGTGGTGGTACTGCTGGTTTAGATTTTGTAGATCCAATTCCAAATCCAGGTACAGATATTCCTGCTGCCCCTAATCTACTCAATGCTCCCTGATTCAATACACCCCTATGTGGATCCGCATCCGATGTAGCCGCGTCATATGTAGGAGGAGGTGAAGGTGCCGATGATGATGGATTAGAATTTTGTCGTGGTGGTAATCTAGGTGGTAAACCAGGGGGTTGTGATTTACCAGCTATAGAAGTCATAGAAGATGTTCTACCATCTGCGCCATCTTTTCTTCCAGGAGGTGGTGGTAAATGTGTTGTAGATAATCCCGTTGTATTCGGACGATATGGCATTGGTGGCGGTTTAGGTTTTGCCGCTTCTTCCTCTTGTCTTCTTCTTTCTTCTTCTTCCGCCTCTTGTTTTGCTCTTATTTCACTTTGTGGTACTGGAGGTCCCCATCCTTCTGCATCTGATCTTGTTTGACTCGATAGATTCGTTGGAGGTGGTAAAGCCGCAGCTCCATGGTATTTAACACTTTTTGGTGGTGGACCGAATGATGAAGGATCTTTTAATGATGATAATGGTCTGGATTGATGTTCTAGAGCTTCTTCTCTTGGATCTTTACCCTTTCCCACCCTATTGAATGGAAGATTAGCTCAAGAAATACAGTATACCCTGAGTTCTAAACTCATTTATTTCGTTCGGAAAAGGGGATAAACCTACCATCCGGCTACTTGATTAAGTCCCTTAAAATCTCCTCTCCAACTTTCCTTAGGTTTTCCATCTTTACCTTTTGGATGCCATCCACTTTTCAAAGTATCCTTAAATCCCGACATGGTGATGTGATGTATAGAATATAAAATGATGTTCTAGGGGTAATGTTTGCGGGGAGTTATTTAGTCTCATGTTCTAACCATGTACCGGTAATAGCTTGTTAGCTTGTTCGCTAGTTCCAAATTGTCATAGTCATTATGCAATACCCATCCGGTAACCTAACCCTTGGGTTGAAGAAATTTCTTATAGAATAAGATTTACTACTTCTATAATGAAGCTATTTACAAAAATCGATTTATCTCTGATTTCTTACCGGTGCAATACTGGTTAGAATATGATTGTATTACAACCCTGCTAGGTATGTCATAGTTCAAACGGTCGCTTATTCCCGAAACTCCGAATACAACATATCATATTCCACGCCATCATTATGCAGAATCGTAATACAACATTCCATCCCCTCCATTCCATTGAGCAAGATATCAAATATAATCCACCCAAGCAATAAAATTCATCAAACAACTAGCAATACGAGGCCCGGTGGCCTAATGGTTAAGGCGCCAGATTTCGGTCTGAATTCTCTGGAGATTGGGAGTTCGAATCTTCCCCGGGTCGTTGAATTTTTGAGGTTGCTTTCTGAGGGCCGGGGGTTTTTGATTTTTGGGACTTTTATCTTTCTTTCTTTGGTTTTATTTATTTATTTATTGTTTGTTTGTTTGTTTGTTTGTACAATTGAGGAAAATGAGTGAGGCAAAGCAAAAGTGTAACACGAGGTTCTCAAAGAATAGATATCCAATCAATATTCACCTTGCAATGTCTATTTGGTTTGTAGGTTTTATGGTCAGATGATCACTTTTTGGGGGAGTTGAAGTCAACTTTACTTGGGAATTTTGATTTGAAAGGTAGTAACGGTTTGGGGTAAAGGTATGAAGTTTGAGAGAGTTTCTTTATGCCATGCGGATTTTGCTTGAAGTTGGAGAAAGATCTCGGGATATATGTCGTGAATTGTTCGGTTGTGCTCATTCGACATGGTTGGTAAAGGAGAGGATATATGATTTGTTTTTCTAGGTAAACGAAAGGAAGTGTTGAAGGCATACATATCAGTGAGGTTGACCTTGCAACTAACCCCCTTCCTAACGCAATACTAGTCTGCTATATACCTAGTAGCAATGAATACCGAAAGGATATGTTGAGAGGGGACACATCAAGGGAAGATTTGCAGGCATTCCAGCAGGACAGGAATGTAGTGTCACAAATTGACCATCACCTGAGTTAAATGTCAAAAGAAACATCTCATTATTTCATTTAGATGCATTGTATTTTGATATTGTAGATAGCATTCAGTTCTCAAAAATCGAGTCGGACGATGCGAGTCCATATGGTGGATTACACCAAAGCGTGTGTTTTTTTTCCCTTAACCGACATCTCTAACATGCATCCCCTTAAACCTTCATCTCAGAAAGACCATGCTTCCAGACAGTGACGAATGGAGTAACACCATCCTCACGGTAGTTCATAAGAACGACCCTATGAATAATGTAAGTATATGATTCAATATATCACGTATAAAAAGAGGAGCGGAAGGAAAAACTTACATTCCATCAGGATCCATAGATTCACCAACAAAGAAATCGTAATCCTTGAAACCACCAACAACCTTCTTTGCGTATGCAGCGGCACCCTTCTCGAATTTGGTAATCTCCTCTTCGGAAGCACCTCCCGCCTTCAACTTCTCCTTAACAGTCTTCATGTATCCTATACATCAATATTAGTCTCGATGCTTTTGCTAATACATATGAATAAGAGTAAAGGACATACCCTTAAGATGACTGAGATAAGATTTCTTATCAAAAGAGGTGGAGTTGAGACGGAAAGATGAAACAATATCGTTGACCTTTTGGTCTCCATCTTCGACACCCTCTTCAGCTTCTTCAGCAGAGGCGTTGGCACCAGTGTCTATTACCCAGTATCGTTAGATCATTATCCTTCTATGGTTATACATTGCCTCGAAGACTCGATCGATTTGGGCGGGGTAATTTTGAACGTACCGACGCTGACAGCGCCAACAGTGATCATGCTGCAATCAATTTCATAAACAACACCATCAACCTCCTTCAAGTCGTATGAGTCGGAGATGATCTCATCACCGCTGATAATATCCTATAAAAGTTCAGAAATTAGTTCTCATTCATCATCTCCTTTTATTTCTTTCTCGTAAATCCCCACTCCTCATAATGTAATAATTTTCGAATTTTCGGAATAATCTGCCGAAGTATTAGAAGACGGAAATGAACTTAGAACTTACTTTATAGATAATCATATTGACGATTTGGTTTGATATGAGATTAGATAGATGGTGTGTTGTGTGTGTATAGGATAAGTTTGTGGGATATGGTTTCTGATGAAGGAAGATAGTGGGAAAATTCTTTGGAGGGGAAGGTTAACGGAATTTGGTTTAGCGTGTCAGTAGTTTTTGGAGAACTTAGTCAGCCTAAGATGAACCCATAGGCAAAATTCGATAGAAATTGGAAAATGCCAGATATTGAACTGAAACCACACTTGAAAATTACCTATTGAGCTGTGACGACTTTCAATTTAGTATGCTTAATATTATTGGTTGATTATAAGGTAATTAATTTTCTATCATTTCTTTTCTCACTTTATTTATTCTGAGCGAGCTTTTCACTCCATGGTACGGATGTGTAATGGCGAGATGGGGTTGATCTGACCGCTTTATGGTGCAAGGATTAATTCCACAGGCAGAATGATTTGGTTGATGGCAAGACGAAAGCGGTCAAATAATTCAGCCAAGACTCATTTTATCTCCATATCTCCATATACTCCATACACCGATGTCTATGGCATTCTTCTATTGATAACCATGGATATTGACACAACAACAAACAAAGCGCAGCGAAGTAAAGGGGGTTTGCGGCCTTGCCCCCATTAATATCAATCAAAAAAAATGAACTGAAATGACGACGCTCCGCTAGTCCTTCGGGGACCACTGCTGTGGAGGCAGACTATTTGGGGAAAAAACAGCATTTATGCCTACCAGGTAGTTCGAAGCCTTACTCCCTTTACGTACGTTACATCGAAGAAATTGATGATTAATGCCCATCACTTTACATTCATCAGATGAGATTTTACCATTGATATAGATTTAAAGCATGAATTAATAAAGTGGATAAAACAGTATTATATCTATTTCTATTTCACTGAGCCTCGATTAATATACAAGCAAATCCCATCTAGAAATTGTTCCAAAATAATAGATAAGATAAATGCCATCCGATCATATACCGTATAATCTCGAGAGATTCAGGCTTTTGGCATTTCAGACTAAATTCGATCGGATGAGAATTAGACCGCTTTTATATCAGTATAATATTCGTCCGTATGGAGATTCAAGTAATATCAAAAGCCCGAATGTACCTTGAACCTTTAGATGTTCATGATGCCTTTCTTAACTCCGTAATCTAATCATCTGATAGGTAATCCTTGAAATCTTATCTGGATGATGGATGTTTCCCATATCCCATATCCGATATCCGATTTCCGATTTCCCACTTGTTTTCATTCATAGGTAAAATTATATGGAATCCTGAATCCTGTAACCCTTCCACTTTCACTTCCAAGGCTCTTTACAAGCATTTTTATGGCTTTAAATGATATAAAATTACCATCTATCTAGTAGGTGCTGAATCTGCTGATTGATAGGTACTCTATCCATTAATGATTACATAATACCAATCCGGAAGAACCGGCTTTGAATTTTAATTCGTTCGATCGAAAAGAAGAGAAGACCTCGTCTGATTTCATGTGGCGTGGATCCTTATTAATAAGAGCTTTCCCATCAAGTAACCACCCAACTACCCGCTTATTGATGGAAAGTAAGAAAGTTACGACGACTAAAAAGCGTGGCATCCCTTTTAATATTTTTGAAAAGAAAAGTGGAAGATCTAGGAAGAGATGAGGTATTGATTTTTACTAATAAAGTGAGAGAGAAGATCGAAAAAGAAGTCATTGTCAAATTACCTACCTTTTCTTCTCTTTCTACCTATTTCATCACCTTCACTCAACTACAAACTTTCTTTATCCTTTCTTTCCCATTTTATACTTTTATTATCATAACCACCCACTATCAAACTCAATATTCAACCACCATACATCAACACATAACACATTCCTTTCGTGAGCAACACGATAACTGCAGCTATCAATTAGCTACTCAATTTTAATCAATTCTACAATAATTACAATACAATAAATTCTACATAATGGCGAACCTAACCACCTTTTCGATCAATACAACAACAATGTCCCACCTTCCGCCACTTCCTTCTTACACTCTCACTCCTCTTAAACCACTCATCCCTTACATATCCGACTTCTACCTCTCTCTTATTCTACCGATTGCCGCATACTGGATTGTATCCCTCACCTTCCATTTAATCGATACTCTAGACATTTGGCCGCAATACCGTTTGCATACACCCGCAGAAATCCTCAAACGCAATCATGTCTCCCGTTACGAAGTCGCCCGCGATGTCATCATTCAACAAATCATTCAAACAATTGTTGGAGCTGTGCTAGGTCTTACCGAGCCGGAAGAAATGACCGGAAAAACCGAATTCGATATTGCGAATTGGGCGCGAAGAATACGCATAGCGCAAAGAGCTTTACCTTCTATTTTAAGTCTGATTGGACTTAACGCATCCGCAATATCGAAAAATGTATCAGGGAACTGGCCTATGGTTGCGGGAGTATTGGCTGGTGGTAAATATCCTAGTTTAATCGGTGGTTTGGATATGGCCAGTGGCCAACAAATTCCGGCTTTTGCGGAATGGGAAATGTGGGCTGCGAAGATAATATATTGGTATATCGTACCGGCTTTACAATTTGGGTTGGCAGTTGCTATTGTGGATACTTGGCAATACTTTTTGCATAGAGCTATGCATATGAATAAGTGGTTGTATAGTGAGTTTTCATTTTACTGAACCTCTTCGCGTGGAACGATAATCTAACTTGTGATTTTACAGCAACTTTCCACTCCCGTCATCATCGTCTCTATGTTCCATATGCCTATGGAGCACTGTACAATCATCCCTTCGAAGGTTTCCTCCTCGATACTCTTGGTGCATCAATCGGCTACAAGGTTGCTGGCATGACATCTCGTCAAGGAATGGCATTTTTCGTCGCCTCAACTATTAAAACTGTAGATGATCATTGTGGTTATGCACTTCCATGGGATCCTCTTCAACATATCACAAGTAATAATGCAGGATATCATGATATCCATCATCAAAGTTGGGGAATTAAAACAAATTTCAGTCAACCTTTCTTCACTTTTTGGGATAGAATATTAGGGACTGTTTGGGTTGGGGATACTGCGGGAAGGTATGAGAGGAGTAGGAAGGCGGCGGAACTATTGGTTGAGGCGGATAAGGTTAATGTTACGGAGAAGGAATTGTGAATGGTGGAAATGGAGTGGATGAACGTATGAAAGAGATGAGAGGAAAGAGAAAGAATGTATATTACGACCACCACACACACAACTGTTCGATGGGTATTTGGGATTCTTCTTCTTCAACGACTACCATTCTATGTATTGA